TTAATGTTAAAATAATTACAAGTATGCCCTTAAGTGGGTGGCCAGCTAGGCAGTAACATAAAGAGATCAAACAAAAAGAAATAACAGGCCCATTAACTAACAGGAAAATAGAAAAAAATATTACAAGAGAAGATACTAGGACCCATTCGGCCCAGTCTCTTTACATGTAGTAATATAAATAGAAAAAGGGGTTTTCTAGATCATATGCTTGAGATATTAGGATGTGAGCTAAATGGATTCTCCAAGGCTCTTTTCAGGAGTGAAATAGGGGTTGAGACAAGGGGACCTAACACCCCACTATCCCCCCCACTACTTACCATTTTGGTGGTAAATGGTAAGAGTAGGCTAGTCAGACCAACAAGCTTGGATTAATTAGGGATAATTTTTGTGAAACCATGGAGGGAAAGAAAATGATGAAGCCACCATTAATTGTTCCAAATGAATTTCTAGGCTCGAAATTAACTTATTAAAGAATTGCAGAGGCCCAGAAAAGCACATTTGTAATTTTAAAAAGCCTCTCTTAATAAAACAAAGGCTCTTTGGTTTTGGATTGGACACTCCTTAAGTTTCTGGTTTCTTTTATGGCCTTGTGTTGTGTTTCAGATCTGAAGCTTGGAATCCATTCAATTCAACCCAACCACTTTGAGATCATTATCATAGGGTCACCATTTCTGTTAACCAATTTGGTCATTATATGTTCCATTTCATTAATGTTGAGATTCTTGGAATGAAGCATTACAGGTCCTATGATCCCATTGAAATAACCTGTGAATTCCCTTTCTTTGTAGTTTTCTTTCCTTTCCTTTTCTTTTTGTTTCTTTTTTTTTTTGGAGGGGGTGGAGGAGAGAATGAAAAATAGCACAAAATGAATTTGGAGGGTTAGCGGGGTTGGAAAACCAAGACTTTGAAATCTTATTGTAATATCATCGTTTTTTCATAATTTTTCTCTTTTTTCTCATTCATGTAGGTGTTTAGGTAGATCTAGTGTAAGATATTGCAGATACATAGATCAATAATTGATTTATGCTATTTTTAGTGATTTTTGAATATTTAGAGTGAGAATAGGAAATTTCTACAAATTTAATTGAATGATCATGAAAGGACACTAAATACAAAAAGATGTAGCCTTTTGAGTGGCTAGAATTGGGGAATAAGATTTATATCTTGGACCCCACTTGGGTGCAAGCTATCACAATAATGATGATATACAATTGGATCACATGCAAATATATATAAAAAAATCATGTACAATTATGCTCGTGTATAGCATGCTGCTATTCAATTGGATCATAATCAGCATTAAAGGTATAATTTGTGGTATATTCAACTGTTCATCAAGTACTGCAACCGAAAATTTGAAGACTGAACTCATACTCCCCTGAGATTTTGTTGAATTGGCAGTGTCAGTTCCCTATTATTTCCGTCTTTGCACTTAAGAAAAAGGAGTTATAGAAGGTCCAGAAAGCTTATTGGGATAACATCAGGGAAGTTAAATCAATGGCTTCCAGAATGAGTATCTTATTTCTTTGATCTATATCAACCTTGCTACGGATGGAATGAAGAAGTTAAATTAGTTTTTTTTTTTTTTTATGCTCTTTTGTGTCTAATGTCTGGGTTGTGATGTTAAGGTTCTGGCTCTTGGCCATCAATTTTGATACATTTCCTTTGTTGTTGTTTTTTGTATGTTCCCATTCCTTACTGATCTTTAATGGTCATTCATTAACAGTCCTGAGAAAGGCAATTATTAGTATACTATATCATATTGATTTTATTGTAGCTGTATTAGTGATTAAGCACAGAGTCAAGCAGTTGACTGGGTGATCAAGTGTTCTGCTTGAGTGATTAGCCAAAATCAGAACTTTTTAGGGACTTGACTATCTTAGGAATTTTTAGTACCTATGAGCATGCATGTTCATCACTAAGGACTAACATATCCTATTGTGTTTTGTACTAATTACTCATTGTTAAGAGCTCACCTCAAATAACCCCTGGCTTGAATAACGTGATGGTTTTGAGGTCATTTTATCATGTTAACTTATCTTTATTTGTTTACATTCTAACTCGATATGAACAGGTTTGGTACAAAATCGACCTTGCAAAGCTCATGGCCTCTAAAGACTGCAAGATAAATCTCTTGCCAAGCTTTGGAATAGGCTTTGGAAACTTGGCTGCAACTGCGGACAACATTCCTCCTGGATCTGCTGAAGTCTCCTTGGAACCTGTAGATATTCTTGTGAAGGCAGCTTCGAACTGTTGTGACATATTATCTAATAATTGTTGTTGCCTTTTCTGCATTCAGACTTGTTCCCGGTTAAATGATCAATGTGCAATTATTCTTTCTCAGCTTTGTACGGCCTTATCTTGTTTTGGCTGTATAGAATGTTGTTCAGATGTCTGTTGTTCATGACTTCATGTATATGACAATAAAAACTTAGCATTATTTGGCTTCCAAATATGTTTTATAATATATTTATCCCCATTAACCCCATTTAGTAGAGTCTCTCTCTCTCTCTCTCTCCTTCTCTCCATTCAAGGCAGGTTCGTTGCTTGATTGGAACAGCCATTTGAGAACTATGTCAAATCCCGCCTGCATCTGTGTAACCACATGGAGCATAAAAAGAAGCATAGCTCTTCTATGCTGGCCACTAAGTTGCTCGTAAGGGTGTCCATTGGACTGGATTTCGTCCAATCCGATCCAGCCCATTGTGAGTCCACTACAAATGAACCAGGTCCAATTCAATGTCTGGACTGTTTAATCTGGTTCAAAATTGTTTTAATTTAGATTAGTTTCAACCCAAACCTGGTCCATTGACACCTATATTCTTATCTTTTATCAATGGACCAGATATTGACTTAATCCAACCCAATCCAATTATTACAGATGGATCAGGCCCAATTCAATCTAATAAATATTTTGGATCGGATTAGTYCAATCCAATATATCTTATTGGTCCGTCTAATCATGGATGAGGTCCAGTCCAAACCGGTCCATTGACAATTTGACACCCTTAGTTGCTCGTACCTTGGCTTCCATATCCAAAATTTTCGATAAACTGTCTGCAATTCCAACATTTATTGCGCTGTGTGTTTTGAACTCAGCGATACTGACAGAACCAGCATAGTTCTGACTGTTGATGATCCTATGTGTCATGCTGGCAGTTTATGTTTGTCCAAGATGCGTTGAGGCAAAGATGCAATGCAGGGGATTCGTAGTCAATGGGAATGAGTACATTACGAAATAAATATGGTAAAAATACAAGGACTAACCAAACATTTTTGGGTTTGATTTACCCTGTAAGGATCCTTACTGTATAATCGTTCAATTATTCAGTAAAATCCTTTGTGTTTTGGACCTTTGGTTGTTTTTCATTGTATGGGAACGGATGGTCCTCCTATACTGAGTTGTCTATTTTCTCTTATGTTTTAGAGCTTATTTTTGCTTAAGATTCTCCTTTAGGTTTTTACCCCATCACAACCATTTGTTCCAACTTCACTACAGTCATCGTATTCATCGTCATTGCTGAAAAAGAAAATAAGGGGACAAGAAAATAAAAAAAAAAGAGCATTTTTCCTTACCTTTGCATTCTGCAGCTCTACTCTCTTTGGTCTTTGATTGATGCCGTAATTTGTTTCCATAATCAGGATTTATCTGATCCGTCTCTCATCCGTGAAATTCCAAAGTTGTATAAGGTTCTGGAAAACATGAAGAGGAATGGTGGGTGACCAACGATGACAGACCTCTCTGTTCAACCTCCATTGGATCGGTTCTTCCACGAAATCGATATCAGTGATGAAGAGTTGATACGCATACACGAGTTGCGATAGGAACTTAGGAAGAAGAAAAGTTTGGAAGGGTTCCTTTTGGTTTCGGATAAGACCTGGCCTCGTCCATGAAAGAAGAACTGTGCAAGCAAGCGCCCTGTTCATGTAGTTGTCGCTACTCGCTACCCTATGGTAAAAGTGTATTGATCACTGACATGGGGGGATCACCGAGATGGATTATTAGTGCATGGATGACTGAGAAAATCGCCAAACGAATTACCCAATTATTTTTTCTTGGCACAATTTTCTTTAGCGTCTATTACACCGACTGTGCTGCAGCTTAACGCTTCCTCAAATCACATGTTCTATTTACTAATTTTACTTTTGGTTCACGTTGCATTATTCATGTTTCATTATTTGCCACAACAGAAATATAAAAAAAAATGATGTATTTATCATTAAAGACTTCAATAACAAAGATTCTGAGCATATATTTGGTTGTGTGAGAGTTTCTAAGAGGCATTTTTTAGATAAATTTTTATTTAAAAAATACTACTTTAAACATTTTTGCTTTTTTTCTATTTGGTTGGACGTTTTATGGGTATCACCTCAGATAAAATGTGATATCAACATTTCATTTCAAGAAATGCTCAAGTATCAAGGAAATATGAATTTGACGTTTTCCTAACGTTTTCCTAAATGCCTCATACACATAAATCAAAGCGTTTCGGTTTTCTAGTGTTTATTTGACAAGTGGTAAAATCAAATAATAGTTTCATATGCAATAAWTACCAATGCGTATGTGACGCTGGTGTGATGACATTTTTTCAATAAATGTTAATATCCAAACTTTCAAGCAGGTCACTGCAATACCTAAACTTTCAAAAAGCTTCAAAAGAAGACACCCTCAACCAACCAACGGTCAATTATCTGTTGAAAATGTCAAAACTATCTTACAAAAGAAACCACTGAAAATGTCAAATAACCAAACATCTAATCAATTCTAATGTATGGGTTTATCACGTTCAACTTTTTTAATTCACAGTGCAATTCATGGAGTATAGATATTTTGAGATGTTTTTTTGATAGATTTTTGAAATGGTTATTTTCTGATGGGACATTGACAAGTTTGATTTCAACGGCTCAATCCCTGTGACCATGAATGGGAAATCTTGTTCTTGGAGCCACAAAACAAGTTCTCAGATGATGACAGATCCCTCAATTTGTCAGAAAATTTTTGTCAGCCTCATCAAAATTTTCCTACAAGGGTAAAGGGTAAACCAGAACAGGTCTGTCCTTCAATTCGGATTTTACACCATTTGAATCAACTCATTTTTCCAAGTCCCGGGAATGAAATTCTACTTCAAGGGCCAAATTTGGATAATTCTCGAATCGAATCAGGTCATATCCAAATTTGAATCCGATTAATTATTCGGTAAGAAAAAGATATCCAAATTCGACCGATTAAATATTCGAATTATCCGGATTCGATTCAATTATGCTGAATATCAAATTCGAAATCAGATTTTTGAATACCATTGACACCCCTATTTGCAATTTTATTAAACAATTAACAATAAAACCCGAGTACAAATTCATCTCAATTCTCCAATTGCACTCTAACCAAAGACAACCTAATGTGCAAGGCCTGACTCGAAAATCCATAATGGGTTTAAACTCTTTTAGGTCTCAGGTTAGTTTTATGAATGCCTTAGGTCACCATCAATGTATTTTTTTTTTTTTCGGTTTTAGCTGGTGACAAGTTCATTTCCAACAACCAACAAATGAAAATTGGGTGGAGATCTTTGGAACAACAAATAACAGTAGTGCAATTATACTAATGTTTACTCCTATTCCGAAATTAGGTTTGAAGTTTGAACAAACAAAAATGCATAATGCCCAAAAGTTCCCCTCATGATTTCAACTAACAAAGCATTTTAAATTGATAAATTTTGTAAATCTGTCAAGAATGAGAATGGTTGGCAATGATGTATTATTATTATTATTAGGGCCATATATCAACGGATTCCGAAAAGTGGATTTAACCCCATCCATGGTCCACTCCCCTTCAACGGATTCCACAGCCCCTTCAACAGCCCAAGTGTTCAGCTAATCCAATTCCCTCAATGTACAGTTACAACTTAAAACCCATGTAAGAATAATGGGAATTGAGAAGATGGATGATGCTGAGAATGAGATGCGCAAGTTGATAGAGGGTTGGAACGTATTTTATTAGTAAAAAATCTCAATTTCCGAAATAATCTGTATTAAAATAGGAGAAGGAGATAAGGGTCTGAGTGGGCAGCAGCTTGCATTATTTGTACGGGCAGTTACGTACGGACAGGAAGGGGAAAGTGGATGACGATACGTCGACCGGTCAAAACTGCCTCGCACACCATGACGGCATGACTTTGACGATGAGAGAAGCCATAATTTCACACCTACTCACAGCCCTTAAATTTTTTTTTTTCGGTATCATCTTTTTAAAAATAATAAGGGTTTGTTTGGTTCTTGAGAATATATGTATAAAATTGGTGTCATTTCAATTCCCAACTATTTGGATTGAGCAGTGTTAGAATTCTATTTTTTGAATAGCATTCCCCTATTTGAAGGAATGGTCGTTCTCTCTTCTCCCTTAAAAATGAGAATCCCATTTCAACTGATTCTTAATTCTTGTCTGAATCAAACAGGTGAGGTGAGGAAATAGACCACTTTGATTCTAATTTTAATTCTTACTCTGACAAACCAAACAGACCCTAAAAATTAAAACTTTGGCAAAAATGAATTGCCGTGCCCAAATCAGAGACCCCCACCCAATCTATGCATTCTTCAATGGATTCTCTCTGCAGATTTCATCGATCAACACAATTTATTTAATCATTTTTCAGATTGCCCAAAATGAATTCAATTCTGACAAATGTTGGATTTATGGAGAAGCTATTGTCTTATTTGCATGTAGTGAGCCAGCGTTTCATCTGTTTACTTTCTAAAATACTTGTATAATGCACAGTTTATTCAATAAGTTCTTTCACAATGGTGACTTTTTTTGTGAATGCACTCTCTCTAAACTGAATCAATTCAAGTTCAATGGTGCCTTTGATCTTCTGAACATGCAACATATCAACATCTATCTGGGTTAATGCCTGGGGGTTAGCTGTGTCTCCACACCTAATGCACTCTCTTATCTTTCAAGATTCAATGTGCTCATTTAAGATTTTTAAATCAACTTTTCCTCTTTCTTTCTTTTGTATATTTTTTTTTCCGGTTTTTACAGCTAGAAAAGTGAAAGCATAAAAAGTATTTTTGATGGAAATTCAAATGTAGAATTTATGATTCTCTTAAATGGCAACAGATTGCTCCTCATCAATCATCGTAAATAAATATAATAGGCGACCTTCTTGTCATTAATTTAGTAGGCCACCTCTTTAGCCCTCGCAGGTAGAGAGGAAACAGAAGGGATGCAAACATGTTGTAAGCGGGGTGTGGTAAGGCCAAAGTATAGTGATTTATTTGAAGGGCCAATATAGGCTATAGGTCTTTAGAAGTAGAAACAGACAAGAATCTTTTATATTGATAGAATCGTATGTTTGTTATAGTCTATGCTTCTTTTATAAGGGGAGATCTTGAGGCTCTGAAGGGAAGGAGTCAAAAGGAGTTTGACTCCTATTTAAAAAGGGGATCTTCAATTTGATGTTAATTGTCAGGAAGCATAGACGTGGCACGGGTGACATCAGAACTAATCTGACTCTTTCGCTTAATCTACTAGGTGTCTTGCCGTGGGTGATCTTGACTCATTGTAGTTGTGCGATGGTCCTTTCGTCCAAGGAAAAAGAGTAAGAGAAGTTATGTACTTTTAAGAAATAAAAATAAAATAATCAAGCTAAAATACATTCTTTCCTTGAGCAAAACTTTAATCAATATTCTCTTTCAAGGTTTTTAAAATAGATTTGGACAATAAACCGATCAGGGGTCCGGTTCCCGGGTTGAATGGTCCCACTATTCGAACTGAACAGATGGCTTGTCCTGACAAGATAAATTTAAAAAAATTTAAAAACCGATCAAACCAATGAACAGTTTGAATGAGTCGAACAGTTCAACTGCCCAGGCCAATGGTACAATTCTAGGGTAAAACGGAACCAATCACCTAACTGGTCTCAGTTTTTTCAGTCTAACCATCCAATCCGATCCGATTTTAAAAACCATGTTCTCTTCAAATAACCAAAATCATTCAATGATGATGGGATTTTTTCACCTTCACCGAATACCAAACTTGGACCCACTAATAATGTCCCATAAACCTGCTATATGCAACAAGCTAGATACATGCATTTAAGATGTTATCGTCAAATTTCGTAGTATAAACCCTGGCAACATAATTGACAGGATTACAATTCAACAAGAAGCCTCCACACATGAAAGGGAACTGCCAGCGATGCACCCCACCATGTTGCAAATAGTCTATGGTTAGGAATTTAATTAGGAGTCCTCTTACAAATATTTTTTTTGTGATTCAAATTTCAATAGCGCTTGTGTCTTATGTGAATAGTTAGGGATGCAAACGGATTGCATTGGATTTGAATCAGGTATATTATAATTTGATCCGACAATGTTTATGTTGGATTTTATTCGGTCTAAAGATTTGGTTGGATCTAATAAGACTTGATCTAAATTCAAATTCTATTGGTTTTTTGGATCTGATTTGATCCGATTTGTTTTCTTTAAAAAATAATAAATTATTAAAGAAAAAATAAAATATACCAATTTAAATAACATATATTATATTTATATTTATAAATATATAACACATTGGATCGAATCTTCTCAGATCGAATAAGGGGATCTAAATCCAATCTGATCCAAAGATCTAAGCAGGGATGATCCGAATTCGACCAAATAGGATCGGATGAGATTGCACCCCTACAGGCAGCTCATGTAATGGATAGAAAAGTAAAGAGGGGGTTATCTTTTGTATCTTATAATAGTGAAATCATTTATAAAAAGACCTTTAAATTGCCTCATATAACTTACACCTTAAATCGATGAGACTAAGTTAGAAAATAGAATAGACATATCTGATTTCACCCAATTAAGGAATAGATTGTTTAGAACGGGRAAAAAAAAACAGTTAAAAGAAGTTAGTACATAAGAAAATTGACCATTAAATAAATTAAGGAATAGATTGATTAGATCGGAAAAATTCAACTTCTGTTAGGTAAATAAATTATTTTTTCGTCGAGAGAAAAAGCTACCCGCCAAAATGCTCATTAAACAAGCTTTTAAAACAAAAGGGTCCAAGGATAAATTATCCCACACTGTGTATAAGTATAACAGGATCCACGTGGGGTCATATTTTATTTTGCTATTATAGTTTTCATGAATTTATTTATTGTTTAATATGACCTACATCTTAGATCGATGAGGTTAGGTTAGAAATTAAAATAGATACATCTGATTTCATAACCCCGGTTAAGCAATATTAATGAATATACTGATATTTTTCTTTTCTTTTTTTAATCTTTTTGTTTTCATATTTTAGGGGTAGAGTTTGGACCACGATTTATAGACTTTCCTTTGAAAAAGAAGGGAGATCCAAGAACCAAGTTGGCATAAATAAGTAAATAACCTGTTTGGCCCTGGCCAAACATTGATTAAAATCATGGGTTTTCCCTTCAAGTCAAATCCGGATCTACTCTCACATCAACCTCAAAAAATGTCCTGGCCGCACATCGGGTATATTCATGGGAGATAATTCCCAATTCAGGGTCGGTTGTAATTGTGAAACGCGGATCCGAATTCCTTCAAATGTCATCTGGGTCTAATCCGGGACCGGATGACCCTACATAGTTATGGCCTTCAAAATCAAAAGGTCATGTACTAAGGCAGTTGGATGGACTATACGAAAAGTGGGCAAATATAGGTGGGCTTAAGAACTCAATCAATGAAAAGGTGCCTGAACTGAATGTAACCAAACAACTTTAGGGTATCATCAGTCATCACACCTGTTAAAAAACAACTCCACTTGATCATCATCTATTAAATATTCTTATTAATAGAGATAAATAGAATCTGAAATTACAGTTTTTTCATAGTCTATTAGTAGCTCCTATGAACGGCATCCTGCACGGTCAGAATTCATTCCACCCGTACGATAGGTCTAAAATTTATTGGGATGGATTGAACAATTGATACCCCTAATTAATATTGATGTATCAACTTAACCATTAACCATTTATCCAACTACCCAAAAAGCCCAAAACCATACAATAGACTAAAAAGACTAAGGATTAAAAAATATTAATCAACGAAAAGAATAAGGAAGAGAAAAGTAATTTGGGCACATTCCATTATAAAGCCCGTTTATCAAGTGTGATGTGCCCAAATCATTCCTAAAAGAAAGAGGATATATCCGTAATTAATTTGGACTGGATATGGGATAGGATAAAATGAAGAAAATTGCAAGTTAAAGTTGTTGCTAGGGGTGTACTGTTCATTACACGGTGCAGACCACCAAGCTGAATTGAACCAAATTGAAATTGACGGTTGAATTTGGTCTCTATATAAAAAAGGTTTGGGATTCTTTAAAATTTCGATTTATAGCTTTGGTTCAGTTTCCTAAATTTTATTTTTACCAACAAAACCAAATCATAGACACAAACAAACTCTCGAAACATAGAGGTGTAAAGTGGGCACTGCCGCCCTCTCCAGTGAAAAATTGATACAGTCTATGGCTCAGGCCCGTGCCGTGCCACGAGCCAGGTTGGCCCATGGGCTGAGCTTTGGGCCAAGTCAGATTGTACATCAAGCCAAAGTTATTTATTTAAAAAAATTGGCAAAAAACTTAAAAATTTTAATTTATATGAATTATGTGTATAAAATTACTTATATATACAATAATTAAATGAATTAGTATAATAAAATTAAAAAAATATTTATTTTATTCATATATTATATGCTATATAATTATAATTTATATAATATTATATAAGTATATAATATATATAAATAATATATATGGGTCGTGTTAGGAGGTGTCGTAGGCCGTGCTGGGTCATGCCGGCCTGCGGCCTGCTGATGACATGGCTCACTCGGTCATGTCATGCCGTAACGGCCCATAAACCTAAAACCTCAGGTCTAGCACGGCCCGATTAACACCTCTACAAATTCGTTTGATTTGATTTTCCCACCCAAACGGTTTGTATGAATACCCCTGACTGCACCAAACCAGACGGTGAACAAGCTGAATCATTCAAATGTCAAAGGGCGTGTCGATGACTTTTTTATCCCGTTTCCAATCTGGGTTACTTCGTGGAAACATGAAATGCAGAAAAAAAAAATGCTTACTTTCTTGACCGCCCACTCTTATTTATTCAAAACAAAATTTCCAGTCTTGTGAGGAAGGAGGACTACTGCTTATACTCTGAGTTCTGTATCCATCCATCCAAGACTATCTAGTACCCCAATATATTGAAGCTTTGAATCCTTCAAATCCCTCGTGGGTTTGATTTTCAAATTGTCTGAAACCCGTCCCCTCCTCTATCTCTACTTTTCCGATCAAATTGTCTGACTCCAAAAAGGTAATAGATTTTATCTCCCTTTTTTTTGTTTCTTCAGTTTTTGTCTATCACGTATTGGAGGTTTGGACTAATTTTGTCAATTTTCTTGCTTCCATTTCAATATTATTTCTTTTACTAACACGCTCTAACTTACCTACCTTGACTTCCTTTCATGGGTTCTTATGATATATAACCAGGGCTTTGCCAGAGTTATTGCATTCTAAGACCTGCCATATTCGTTTAAGTTGGATTTTTCTGGGGAGAGATAGAGGGAGAGAGCGACCTGCAAAAGGTGTTCATCTTGAATTTTTTAGGTAGCAGAACCTTGATCATATTTGCCTTTTGTTGTTCTTCCTTTTAGTGGATCCTTGGTGCTTGGTTAACAAAATTTCAATCTTTGATTATATGGGTTGTTTTCATTTTTGAATGATTATGTGGTTTTTGGCTTCTACTTTGGCTCCTGCCTCCCGGTTGTGGACCTGAACTTGGTGTTGGCTCTAGTTTAGTTTGGGTTTGTTACAAAATTTGGGTTCTCAAATGACAAATATTAAAGCCTCCTTATTTTCGGTCTTAACTGCTTTTTGTGCTATTTGATCCGATATATATATATTTTTTCAACTTTTATTTTCCTCTGTTCGGATCAAGTTGCTTGAAATGGCTAGGAGATATTTCTTCTTCTTTATATGCTTGTCGTTTGAGTCATAAAGTGGCTCCATGTTAGAATCGATATCCTAAAGCTCTTGTTTGTTTTATAATAGTATACTTAGCAATTTCCTTGTCCACCTTCTCAAATTTGTGGGAATAGTGCATAATCTTCATTAAGAATATCTAGCCCTTTGGCCTTCAAGTGGAAAAAAAATGGAAAAGAAGCCTTTTTCTCCCCTTCTCCCGATAACCTTTTGATTTCATTCTTGTTCTTGATCTTTTTCCTAATTGTCTCTATATTCTCTTTTCCTTCAAACTTGTGAAACCTTTCAGCTTACATCATTTTCATTTATCTTCCAAAGCAGGTTGATTCATCACAGATTGGTGCCCGTTGGTGCTTTCCTTAAATGGGATTATCACTTTCTATACTTTTGTTACCCTGGAAAAATATCTTGAAAAAGCGAATTTTTGGATTGAGGGACAACGTGGAAACAGTTATAGTAAGATCCATCAGCTTTGATGGAAAGGACCAGGAGATGACCTTGAGAACCGTTAGCTTCAAGAAAGGAGACACAGATACCAGTTTGAAGTCTGATGGGTCTGATAAGATGATTATTGAAGAGTCAATTAGCTTCAAACATTCAGAACCCCCAAAGGTAAAGCTTGAGACAACTGTTTCATTCAAGGATCTAGTCTTGGACAGCAGAAACTTGAGTTCATCTACCTGGGAGCAGAAGGATGATCATGGCAATGTCCATGTATCGACACCCTTAAAGTCCCTTCCGGATCCAGCTATACTGTATTCCCCAAGGCCTGTGAGTGAGCTTGATGCAGCTGCAGTTAAGCTTCAGAAGGTCTATAAGAGTTACCGGACTCGAAGGAACCTTGCAGACTGTGCAGTCGTGGTCGAAGAACTCTGGTTTGTGCCTAGTACTCATTATTTTTTATTGGGTGCTGGTTTTTTACTCCAGTTCCTCCTCTATGTGGGAGTTTTTTCTGAAGTTTAATGGAGTTGTTTCTTTAAAAAATTACAGGTGGAAGGCCTTGGATTTTGCAGCTCTTAAGCAGAGCTCAGTATCTTTCTTTGACTGCAAGAAACCAGAAACTGCTGTTTCACGGTGGGCAAGGGCAAGGACAAGGGCTGCCAAGGTGCTTTTTTGATATAACTAGAACCATTATGGTGCCATTAATTTCAATGGGTTAGTTGCTTAGCAGAAATATACTTTTTGTGGTGAATAATATTCTCCTTTCATGTTTGCAGGTAGGAAAGGGTCTGTCCAAAGATGAGAAAGCTCAGAAACTAGCCCTACAACACTGGCTTGAAGCTGTAAGTTCGCATAACCTTCATCAATTTTAGAACCTCACTCCAGACCATGGTTCAAAAACTCATCAAATGTCTGGTCATCTAGTTTTGAGCTAAGTTGACAAGGAAATTGTTTTATCTGGGATTGGGGCTGTTTTGTTCACTTGTAATTTAGTTAGAAAATTGAAATGATTTTTAGACAAGTCAATTTGACAATTTTTTTAGTATGCCCCTTTGACAACTTAGCTCAAAAAAAAAACCTTTGTTAACAGGGACAGACACTGTTCCAAGATATGATTTCTCCGAGTCTGCCACTAGCTGGTAACTTTGTGGTTGACATTGAGTTTTTGGGTATTCTGGACAGTTGCCTAGCTTATTAGCTACAATTGAGTGACCAAAAAAACAAGAGAAACAATGTGCATGATATAACCTTGATTATATGTCCATCTTTGCCATACAGATTGATCCACGCCATCGTTATGGACACAATTTACACTTCTATTATGATATCTGGTTCAAGAGCGAGAGTACCCAACCCTTCTTCTACTGGTATGTACATCCTGTATTATTATCATACAATTTCCTTATCTAATAAATTGTCTACAGTGGAGGTTACCATCATTCTTCCATTCCTAACTTTCATACTGTGTAAAAATGAAGGTTGGATGTGGGAGATGGCAAAGAAATAAACCTTGAGAAGTGCCCAAGGAATGTTCTGCAACGCCAATGCATCAAATATCTTGGACCTGTAAGTCTTTACTACCTGATATACTGAAGTACATTGATGTATATATAAGTAAATGCAGATGCTGAACAGGATTGCATTAGTATTTGGGGGTTTCTCATTCTTTTTTCTGTCTTGCAGAAAGAGAGGGAAGCGTATGAAGTAATCGTCGACAGCGGGATGCTTGTCTACAAACAAAATGGGATGCTTGTGGACACAGTTGAGGGTTCTAAGTGGATATTTGTGCTTAGCACATCAAGGGCTTTATATATTGGRCAGAAGAAGAAGGGTGTTTTTCAGCACTCAAGCTTTCTGGCAGGCGGGGCTACAACAGCAGCTGGAAGATTGGTTGCCCACAATGGGATTCTAGAGGTACACAGACATGCATCATCATGTGTATCATATTATGGTAAATTACATAGTGGGCTGCTGCTTAATTCTTATGCCTTATTTTTCTTCATCAGGCTATCTGTCCATACAGTGGTCACTATCACCCTACAGAAGAGAATTTCAAGGAATTCATTAGCTTCCTGGAGGAACACCATGTAGACCTCTCTAATGTTAAGGTAACTACTTCAAATTATTCCGACTGTTCTTTCATTAGCTTTATAAGAGTTGCATTGGCCATCTCCTATTATAACTTAAACAAGTTAATTGGCTGATGTTCACCATTTCTTTTCTTTTTCTCAGAGGTATGCTATAGATGATGACTCCCCCTCAATCAGAATTACTGAGGAGCCAAGGCTAGGGTCAGCCATATATCCAACTACAGTATTGCCACTTGGAGATACAAATGTGGCTGATCTAGATGAGCCTGTCAAGAGAACCACCAGGGAGACTAATGATCAAGAAGACAACAAGGACACCATTGCAGACACAATGGAAAAACCAGTTTTCAATGTGGCCAACCGTTTGTCGTGCAAGTGGTCGACTGGAACTGGGCCTAGAATTGGATGCGTCAGGGACTACCCTACAGAGCTACAATTCCGGGCACTGGAGAAAGTTAACCTATCTCCTCGGGTCACTCCTGGACCATTTGGTAACTGTCCGATCCCTTCACCACGACCTAGCCCAAAGATCAGGCTGTCTCCCAGGCTATCATACATGGGACTGCCTAGCCCCAGGGTTTCTGTTCCGGTGGTCAACTAGACTTGGCTGTAAATGTTAACCAGAGTTGGTCGAGTCACCTAACAGCAAGCTAGCAAATTCATTGGTTTGGGAATGGTCAAGGGTAATAGAGGTGGAAAAGCTAAAGTAGCTTTGGCAACTAGGGCACATCTTATGCCCTCAAGTGAGCGGTTTCGCAACAAATAGGAAAAGGAAGATGGAAGGACTAACCCAAATATTGTTTGGTTCTTGTTTCTTTGACCTTGTTGTTTACATGGTCAGAAAATATTCTTTTTTTTTTTTCAATTTTTCTTATAATTTCTTCTGGGGTTGATCCATTCTTTCTTGTAAGTAGCTTGATGTAAAGAGTTGAGTTGAGAGAGTACTCACAAGGAAATAATATTTTTTTCTTCTATTTCCATCATTTTTTTTTTGTTCTTTTCTTTCTATGAAAATCGAAGTATCCAATTAAAACAGAAGGTTGTGTGTTTCTGTACTTTTTGCTTTGTTGCAGTTGAACAGACTTATGGACTGAACTCTAAATTTTCCAATGATTAAATGAATAATACCGAAAAAGACTTATACCCAATCAACCGGTATCACAAAAAAGGTGACGAATCAGATGATGGTGTTCAACTTMAGCCATTAAAGGGCATTAAAAGAGCTTATTCACCAGAAGACAATGTAATAAGTCATTCACTTCAGTCATATCCAGACCACCTCTTAGCCAAATTGGAGATTTAGTTGGGCCCATCTTAATTTCTTAAAATCGTTTTTGAAATGTCATCTTGGACTAATGTGGGTATGGGTATCAGCCTATCAGGGTATGGCTACCGATTATTATTCAACCGTTCAGGTCAAACGACAAACAACTAATGAGTTGCAGGCTCAGTTTGAAGTTTGAACTTTGAATGACTGAATGCGTTTAATAGACACGTGCAAGAGATGACAGACTTTCACACTATCCTAGATTCCTTCTGAGACTACTACCAGTCTACGATAGAAAATGAGAGGGGTTGTGCCCAGCAGTTTCCTTTAAACCCCCCAATTTTTGGCCCAAAAGTCAATCCTAACCATCCATAAAAAAAACCCGGTTTGGCCCATTTTTCCCAAAATTATCAAAAGGCCATTTCAAAATTACCCTTCGAATGTTCATTTTCCCCTTCTTTGAACCCAAACGAAGGCGGCAACGATTTTTCTCCTCCCTCCATTGACAAAATTCCCGCACCGTTCATTCTCTTCTATTGGAATTTATAGAGAGAGATAATGCTTTTTGTTAATTTGAAGAGTAATACAAAAGGGGTTTATATACATCAAAAGGGAGGAAAAAAGAAAAAAGAAAAAGGTAACAAACTCGTAACTAATCTTGGTTAGCCAATCTTGGCTAATCGTGACCAACTTTGTGAGGTGCTGGTTTAGTCTCTAATAGCCCCCCTCAAGCTGGAGCATACAAATTTTGAATGCCTAGCTTGCAGATTGAACTATTAAATGAGTGAGGTGGCAAGGGCTTAGTGAAACAGTTAGCTAATTGATCTTCAGAAGCTATTGGCATTAGGTGAATCAGACCAGCTTGCAACTTTTCCCGTACAATGTGGCAATCTATGTCAATATGTTTTGTATGCTCATGAAAAACTGGATTACGAGCAATGTGAAGAGCTGATCGATTGTCACAGAACACAAGAGCAGGGGCAATTTGAGGAATCTGCAATTCTTTCAATAAATAAGTAAGCCATTGAACTTCACATGTAACAGCAGCAAGTGCACGATACTCGGCTTTAGAGGAAGATTTGGAAACAGTTTGTTGCTTCTTCGATTTCCAAGATATTAGACTATCTCTCAAAAAAACACAGTGGTCGGTGATAGATCTCCTGGTATCAGGGCATGAAGCCCAATCTGAATCTGAGAAGGCTTTCAACTGTAGAGATGATGGAGCAGAGAAGAGCACTCCTTGGCCAAGACTAGATTTTAAGTATCGAAGAATTCTATGTGCGGCTTGCATATGAAGATCTGTAGGGCAGTCAAAAAATTGAGAAAGATGTTGGACAACAAAACAAATGTCTGGCCTTGTATTTCATAAATAAATTAATTTTCCAACCAATTTTCTGTAGGAGGTAACATCTGGTAAAGGGGTACCAGTATCTTTATCAAGTTTTTGAGAGGTAATCATAGGAATAAATACTGGCTTGTTGTTTATAAAACCTATTTCCTCCAAGAGATCAATCACATACTTCCTTTGGCTGAGATTGATGCCAGTCGTGGATCTGGCAACTTCTAAGCCAAGAAAGAATTTGAGTTGGCCGAGGTCTTTGATTTTAAAAGTATCATGTAAGAATTCTTTGACTTTATTTATCAAATCAATGTTATCACTTGCCAAAATGATATCATCAACATAAGTTAACAAGGCTAAAAAATGAGAACCGGTTTGTTTTGTGAACAGAGAAGTATCAGAAACTTTCTCAGTGAATCCTTGAGACAACAAGGCATCAGTGAGTTTTTGATTCCATTGTCTACTTGTCTGCTTGAGACCATAGAGGGACTTAGTTAATCTACACACTTTAGAAGGATTAGATGTTTCAAAACCTGGGGGAAGGGTCATGTAAACTTCTTCATGTAAGTCACCATGTAAAAAGGCATTGTTAATATCCAGTTGATGCAGATGCCATAGCTGCAACGACAAGTAAAGTTCTAATAGTTGTTATTTTTGCAACTGGAGAAAAAGTATCAAGATAATCAATGTCATTTTGTTGAGTATAACCCTTGGCAATTAATCTGGCCTTATACCTTTCAATGCTACCATCGGCGTGATACTTGGTTTTGAAAACCCATTTGCAGCCTATATAACGTTTTCCTATAGGTAAGTCGGTTAAAACCCAAGTATTATTTTGTTCTAATGCTTTGATTTCAAGTGTCATTGCATCCTTCCAGCATTGCGATTTTATTGCCTCATTGTAAAGTTCTAGGATCTTTGGTTTGGGAGATTTTAGTAGCAAAGATCCTATGAGAAGAAGATAATTTGTGAGTGGAATAGGTAGAGGATATGGGGTGAGGGTTGGAGGTTTTGAAAATAGAATTGGCTTTAAGATTTGGTATTTGACAGTGATATTGGTCAAGATATGACGGAAGTGTACGAGGTCCGGATGATCTTCTAGGTTGAGTTTCAGGATGTGTACTTTGTATGGCATCTGGCGAAATGTTAATAGAAGGGGATGAATCAATGGTGGTATTATCTGAAGTGGTAAGAGGTGGTGACGGATTAAGGAAAGGAAAATTAGTAGGTGAAGGTGTAAAGGAAGGTGGAGAGGGTTCTGCTAAAAGAACTTCATATTCTGTTGGTAGAACAAAGTCTGAATTATCTGTTAAAAGGGGATTAGAGTAAAAAGGGAAAGAGTATTCATGGAAATGAACATCTCTTGAGACAATAACCTTCTTAGTTCTGAAATTATACAGACAAAAACCTTTAGTTGCAGAATGATAGCCAAGAAATACATAAGGATCAGTTCTAGTATCAAACTTGCTTCTATTTGTATCAAGCATAGAGGCAAAGCAAAGGCATCCAAAAACTTTCAAATGATCAAATGAAGGAGCAGTATAGTAAATAAGTTGAAATGGAGTTTTGTTTGAAATGATTGGGGAAGAAGTTTTATTTATTAGATAGACTGCATGAGAAATACAGTCAGACCAAAAGGGAAGGGGAAGTTGTGATTGGAACTTGAGGGCTCTGGCAACATTCAAAATGTGCTGGTGTTTTCTCTCAACAATAGAGTTTTGTTGAGGAGTATATACACATGTAGTTTGATGACCTCTTGAAGCGTAAAAACCATGCATGTTAAATTCCAAAGCATTATCGGATCTAATACACTTTATTTTTGCAGAAAACTGAGTTTCAATCAAAAGACAAAAGTTTTGAATATGTCGTCTAGCTTCAGATTTAGTTTTCATAAGGTATATCCATGTATATCTACTCTTGTCATCAACTATTGTCAAAAAATATTTATGCCTATAGAAGGAAGGAGTGGAAAAGGGGCCCCATGTATTAATGTGAATCAAATCAAAGCAGTTTGCAAAAGTAGATTGACTAATGGGAAATGAGAGCTTTCTTTATTTGGCATAATGACATATAGAGCAGTAATCTGAAGATGGTAGTGAAATAGTATGATCCAATTCTCTCAAAAGTTTCAATCGAGTATTAGACAAATGCCCCATCCTAAAATGCCATATATCAGTGGCATTAGGCTTATTACAAAAGGGAATAGTAACAGAATTACAAGTAACCGAAGAATTACAAGAAACAGAAGGTAGGACAAGCCTGTAGAGGCCATTAATCTTTTTAGCTAATCCAATCGTCTTCCAGTGTTGATGATCCTGGAGGGTACAAAGATTGTGTTGAAAAATGAGACAATAAGGATATGAATCAGTAAGCTTGCTAGTAGATATGAGATTGAAAAAAAATGAGGTATATAAAGAACATTATGAAGTACCAAATTGGAAGAGAATATAGCAGTTCCTATGTAAGGAACAGAAACCTTTTGGTTATTGGGTAGAACTACATGTGTATTTGCGATAGGTGCATAAGTTGAAAAATTGGATAAGCTATTGGTTATATGATTAGTGGCACCGCTATCAAGAATTCATTGTGTTTGATTAGACTTATTATTATCAATGATGCATGAAAGAATGAATTTACCTGATTCATTGGCAATTAAAGTAAATGTTGATGTTAATTGATTGACCTGAGGTGTGGAGAAATGAGTTGGTGCAGAACCAGGAGCAAGGTTGACCAGCTGAAGCAGACTCATGAGCTGATTGCATTGACCCTGGGTAATTGGAGAGGTGACCATGCTTTTGGCAGAAGTGAATCCATTATGGACACTAGATGTGGAGTTAGGAATTGAAGAATCTGGAACATCTGTGCCTTCATTTGCTAATTCACTGTTATAAGAAACTTGGTTGGCATGCGTAGCTCTTGAACCAAATTTGCCTCTTCCTCCTTTATAGCCAATTATGTATCCGTGCTTTTTATAGCAAGTTTCAACTGTATGTCCTGGAGTGTTATAATGGCTACAGTTTGGCTTGGATCCTGTATTAGTGTAGGACCTTTTTGAATTAGTGGTTCCTGAACTAGAGTTAAAAGAGGAATGAGGTCTTTGAGATTGCTGCGAATTTTGTGGAACAAATGGTCTTCGATTGTAATTAGATCCTTGTCCTTGAGCCAAGAACATAAAAGCTGGTTCCTCAAACTTAATCACAGGATTATTGAACTGTCTCTCATGTTGAAGCACTAAAGAAAACAATTTGTTGATGTTGGGCAAATGGTCCATCAAGAAGATTTGTGACCTAATTATTGAGAAATTATCATTGAGGCCTTTCAAGAATCTGATAGAGTAATCATTCTGATAAGCTTTCTTAACATCTTTGAGTGCTTGA